AGAAAAGAAGTAATGAATAGGTTCGAATAAAAAGAAAATATTTTTACAGGTCATATATGTCTTATTTTCTCTTTACATGTAAATTTGCTGTTGTTTCTTTCAACAAATCTATATTAGCCATGATAAATGCGTTTCAATAAGATGTTTTAATCACTAGAAAACTAGTCCAAGGATATGCTACACGGATAATGTTTGGCTATAACAATAACTCAGTTCCAAGATGTTTGTCGGAATCATAAAGCAATGTTGAAGTAAATATGTTATATATCGAAATGAGCCAAACATGTCGATGATGCTGCCACTAGGACAATTGTTGTGTCAGACTTTGTCTGTCAATTAATGCAATTTAGATATAAAACTTCATCTTTCTCAAACATGTGGATGCAATCTTTTTAAAAATATGTTAATAACACCAATAATTACCTAACATAAAGTACTCTAAGTTAGACAAATACATTTAACATGACAAGACCTCTCATAATTCTCTGTTGGTATATATTTCCAGGGGAAAATAAAATCAAACAAACTGTCAATAACTATCATTAAACAAAAACATTCAAAATTGAACCTTTGGGATAGCACAATTCAAAAACCATTTGAATGCGTGATGTTTTGAAGGCAATAGTTTTAAATGAATTCCTTTGAAACATAAAATCAAACAGAAACTGTTATTATTGAACATTGCTTAAAATGGAATGACCGCGTTAATGACAACATATTTCATGCAGTACATGTACAATTTCCAATATTTATAAGTGAGTATGGTTAAAAGTCTGATGACAATTATTTAAGTTAAATAGAACAATCAATTTGAATATTTGTCGAATAACACAAAATAAATACGTCTGATGTAATGATTTTTTTCATTAAAAAAAGATAACTGATTAGCAAGCATTGAAATACACCATCTTCTTATTAATATTTTTATCATATCAACCGACTTCATTATATTGTATAGCTTTCTTTGTCGCTCTTACAAATCCAACGTTTTAACAAAGACTTCTAATAAAAAATAAATAGGAATTACCTACGAGTAATGCTTTTTTCGTATCTATTATATTACATAACTATGTACATGTATAAAATAAAACTGTTCATCAACGGTATATACCCTGAACAATTATTCCTAAAATTAAAAAACGAAAACATATTGACCTTTTTTAATTTAATTATTGGCATGCACTTAAATGTCACACAGCAATATTAATAGACGGAGTTCTTAGCACTATTAGATAAGTAACAGTTATATAATCTTCACTGAATATTTTACGAATCGAAATTCTTATGTTTTGTTTAAAAGTTGCAATGTTAAAAAGTACTCTCAAAGAGCCATGTAAAATTTTATATTTTAAAAACTCTTAAAGTAAATTATTGTTACAACCATCGTCGTAACTTCTCATATTTTTTCATTCATGTGTTTCATAAAAGTGCAATTTCATTAAAACACTATTATTTCATTTAGTTTTATAAAACTCTGCTTGCATCCCCTTTGCAGAAGACGATCGCGATTTCCTTTACAATAAAAAAAATATCAATATAAACATATTGTTTTTATTCACTGTTACAATGATAATAAGTGAGATAACAAGTTAAAATCAATGCTTTTAGCGGACCATGTTTTTTTCCGTGTATGGACACATATCTCTAGAACCTGTCATTTATTATTTTGTGATAAAACTCTGTATCACATATTCACGATGTTATAACAAAGTTGACATTAACCTAACTATTAAATTAAATTTTCATTTTAATCAATATAGAAATAAAAATCTTTAACAGCAGTCATCAGTTAAAAGCCATTTTTTCTTTTAGACTGACTGAAACAGATTTGTAGTCTATCACTATTCCATCTTGGTGGCACTGACAAGTCACTTTTCCCTAATAACATTCTAGGGTTCGAACTGAATCTATTATATTATTGGCTAGATAAATAGAGAACACCATGCCATTGTCGGATATTACAAAATTTATCAGGCAAGACCAAGAAAAAAAGGGTTAGGCTTTTATCCTATTTATCATGTTTTCAATTTTTATATGCTTTTCTTGTCTTTAAATTTCAAATGAAACAAATGCCTGTCAAGAACTACTCGATTCAATGCCGCACAGTAATATGCCAAGGTCATATCAATACGAAATAGTCCCGAATGTTGACAGTCAAAATTCTTTTCAATTCAAAGTTGATCAGTTTATTACTTTCAAATTAGTAAGAGGTAAATATATTTTCTTCATTTTATTAAAATTTGTATTGATGAGGTGTCTTATAAAGTTGAGGCATGCACTTTATCAACAGAATTCAATGTAATGATGAGCCATTAAATCTAATTCAGAACTATTGGACACTTAACGTTAAATCTGTTACTCGTATTAAGTCGTGTTTGTAGCGAAGTCTAAAAATTTTAATAGAATAAATGCATAATAACAACAACAACAACCATATTAAATAACGTTTTTGCGCATTAAACATAACAGTTTCTTATATTCCGATGAATAATTTCTAACGAGAATTCCGATGTATGCTGGCTAACACATTGAATGGACAATAGCATATACATATTACATGCCATAGGTCTCAGACCTAATACATAATTAGTATAATAATCATCATCATCTCATTATTGAAGGTACACCTGGCAGGTAATGATCAATTAATAATTAGTGAAGACAAAAGGTGTCAGATGAATCATTAAACGTGCAGGTATTCGCTGATATTTCCAGGCAACCATTTACTTGAATTATAACCTGTCAAATCAGATAACAAGCTCAGTGGTAAGTTGCTCGTATACTTTAATCATATCTGATCAAGCAACATGTTTGCATTGCCTGAATGATAGACCTATTGACACAATAAAGCAATATGCCTGAGTAAAGACATGGTATACATTCCAAAGTCTACAATAGAAATAAATAATAATAGATATATCAGAGAAATCGCTTAACTCATATACATAACTGCTGAATATGTGTAATGGGTCTGTTTTGTTTTGAATTCGGATAAGTCCATTCATTAGAAGTTTGAAACAAAGTTCAGCACACTGAACAGGCTAGATACTGGTCAGTATGAGCATGCTTAAAATATAATGACTTAGCAATTTTAATGCAATAGACTGCAATACAGTATAACCGATAATTCCGATGTGAATAAACAGTTTCCATTGTATTCTGGCCAATACATCTGTGAGACAAAGAAATATTTCAAGTATATCATAGATTATAGATTTATTCCTTTAGTATTAACTATTGAAATAAAATTTCATTATTAATTATTTGATTAAAATTGCTTTGTTAAGTGGTCACTTTCATCTGACTGCCGGTTTATTATAGACATACTCATCAACAACAAGGTTACTTATTTTATAAAATCTAATGACTATCTCAAATTAAAGCACAACTAAGAACGAAATTCTTTAAGGTTCACTTATATAAACATAAATGGTATTATGGGAAATCTCGATAATTATCAGAATAGAGGCATGTTTGACAAGTTAATTCCTTTAAGTACCATTTGGTATATCATCTAAATACCATGTCGTAATATAAACCTTACTAGCTTAATGTGGTAATACAATTCTCTAGACTATATGAAATGGGTATAAAACAGTCTGGAACATGTGGAATGTTAATATAATTCGAGAATGATGTACACGCGATATTCATACTAGTTTCTTCCCCTTGGTCATAGACTGCACTATGTTTCGCTATAATATTGTCGTAAAGCAGCATTGAAAGGTTTTCATTGATCTACAGACTTCATTTATTCGTGGTATTTATTTGTATAGATAATGTTTTCTCATTTAAATAAACGGATAAACAGACTGACGTTAATCAATACGGTATCTCACCATCACTTTCCAGTTCACAAATCAATCACGCTGTTTACAAATAAATCACGCTGTAATAAACAAACGATGATACTTCTGAATAATAAGGTGTTAAATCCCATTTATGTTTACTATAAGACTATATGACAATGTTGCATGTTTTCTTACAGTATTTCCATCATCATCCTCATCCTCATCATCATCATCATCATCATCATCAGAAAAAACAGCAGCAAAAGCGGCAGCTGGATCAACATAAAATACTTTTTACCAGTTTCATGTACTTGTAACATCATTTAGTATTATTAACTATCTTAAACTGTATTAATATGATAATTTATAGTTCCATAATATTCCTGATATTTCTACAAGTACTATGTGTCATTATCTATTCGTCATCATTATCATCATCGTCATCATCGTCAGTTTTTGTATAATTACTTTGTTATTGTCATTACTTCTTGATTTAATACTTTTTTTGTTAATATATAATTATTATTATTATTCTACCCACTAATATAATTTGTTTTAACATGTATATTATTATTATTCACTTACATAATTTGTTTATAATATTATTATTTTCTTATTACTATCTTTATCTATATGTTTCATAACCAGTTTTTTGTTCTCATCATTTGTAGAGCAACTATCATTACTTGTACATGAAGAATAATTATTTGTTTGTCCCTGATCATCATTTGTTTATAAATTTATTATTTCTATGAAAAACCCTGACTTACGTTAACATTGTCAGATTTTTTATTATTTTTCCTATCGGTCACTTTTCTTTCACTGTTATTTCAGTGTTATTTCAAAATATATTTTGCTGTTCAGGTGTACTATTTGCATTTTTTTTAAATATGCCACAGGAGGGAATTTAGATAAGAAAGACAAAAGAGGAGATATAAACAGTAGATAAATGAAAATTGACTTGTACATTCGGTATAAATAATAAAGCTGATGTGTTGTTCACTCTTCGAACAAAACTATGCTTGATTATTTAAAACATGCTAAGTTTAGGACAAATCAAACATTGAACCAGTAATATAAATACATTATAGCTGTTAAGATGCAAGTGGCTGTGCTACCTTTGAGTAATACATCCTCAGAGATATAGAACATAATAATAGTAATAGAATAACCACAGTACTGCAAGAAGAAAAATAAACATGTAGTTACCTCCAATAACGATATCTTTTTTCCTTCGTATATCTTCTTCTGACATTGATTTAATGTAAGTTCTTGGCCTCGGCTTTGAACTGTCATCAAACGGACTTACACGATTTGGTGGGTGGAAAGAAACCAAACTTTTTCTAGAGTTGGAAACTGGTGAGTCAGGACTTTCATAATATGACTCGTGTAGTTTCTCTGCTGGAGGCAGATCCGGTGTATATTCTCCATCACTATCTCTTTTATACTCCAAAGGACTTTTCTCTTTACCTTTCACATGCTTATCACTTACGTCTCTTTCGCGTTCTTCTATCTTGTCATTGTACTTATTTTCTACATCTGAATCAGAATCCCATTCTGATCTGTTAATGTTGCCTATATTCTTCAATTCACTGTCGTGGTCAGATTTGCTTATATGTTTATTTTGGTATATATGTTGAGAAGGTTCATCATGAATAGTGTCAACCTTGTTAACCTCTTGTTTCGCATCAGTTCTTTGTTCATCAGTAGGAGTGGTTGCAACATCCCAATTTGAAGGAATACCTGACCACAACAACCACATGCGGTATTAAATGTTAAAAAAATTGGACAATTGGTTATATTTTTTAGAATAAAGCAAGAAATCACATTCTATACAATAATTTTAAGAGCATACTTTTGGCATGACCATGAAAATAATGGAATGCCTATGTATTAACTGATGCATTTAACAATTCAGCTTTATTGGATTTTCTAAATAGCCGATTCCTTCTTAAAGACCTTTTTACCAAAAAAGAAGCGGATAAAGAAAAGCATAAGCCACTAAAGGTAGTTCTCTTACAGGATGTTTCTTTCAGTTATTATCATAAAAGTATTTAGGATTTTTATTATTTCCATTTAATTGTGCGGTTCGAATGGAATGTTTGATGCATCAGTAGTACAAGTAATAGGAGACTAAACCTAAATCATAAACCAAGACAATTAGCAAGTATAAGTTTAGCTTAAGAAATATCGAGACAAGCATGTGAGCAAACTGTAGTCCTTATAACAAAAAGGTTGTTGAAAAATATTGAATCTGGTCATTAACAAAACATCAGAGCAAATGCGTGCAGGGTAGAATGACTATTTTCTTTAAGATTTCATTAGAAGTTATTATATTGATGTTTTACATTCTTATGGAATGTCATGCAACCGCACTTGGAAATACAGTGTATTTTATTTCTTTTTCGTTCCTATTTTGAATGATGTCGTCCAGATGTTAAGTATATACATTTAACTTGTTATTTTGTCATTAAACTTATATTAACAGAAATCATCTCTGATTGACAAAAATATTTTATTTTAACAAAGGCATTTAGATAGATTCCATATACATTGTAGTTTTGACAACAACAAAAAGATTGCTTAATTCAGGACAGTCTTCATTTTTCTGTTTCGCTTACACGACAACTGAGTCAAAATAAAAGGATGACCAAAGTTATTTCATTAGATGATTTCATCTTGAAAATAAGTGAATAGTGGAAGAAATGTTAACGCATGTCTTCACCTAAATGTCTCCGAAAACGTAAAACATATCTAAGGTTCCACCAGGTAAACATTCGTTCTGAAATCTTGAAATTTCTTTCATGTTGTTGTTGCTGTTGTTTTATGGTTACATAAAGGTTGTCATTTATCATGATTGTTGTATTAATTAAAATTCTTGCAAGCTTTTCATGTATTGAATACATTCTTATTCAGAGATGAAATTATTGCAAATACTTGCACGCAATGCCAATGTTCATTGTCAGCAAAAATGTCAACGTACCACGTTTCGCTGTTATTTTATTCGGTTAATCCACAACTATTTATAGAAAGTCGGATAAAATAATGGTTTGTAACAGAATTTAAGGAAAGTCACGAATTTTCTAGGACTAAGACCTCTTAGACAGACATCTATTTAAAGGAGATAAATATGGAATTATTTATGTTGAACAGTTTTGTTACTAAAGTATATTTTCGGTAATACTTATTTATAATGAATTCTTCTTCATAAAATAATGAAGTAGGACATAACATACAGCATGTGGTTATTCATATAGTGATGCTATTTGAATTGTTTTACTATTTATATTATGTATTTTTTTTTAAGTTATATATATAATGCGTCCTGTAATTTATCAAATACGTAAAACTAATTGTGTATTTTATGTTATGAAAATGGATTATATCTCATTAAAAAATGGACATTCTTGATATGGCATCTGAGTCACAGCGCCATTTTAGTTTCACGCAATAATTGGATATAATATGTGTTTATGCGGTGAAGGGAAAAAATGCCCCACATATACATGCAACAACAATATAACACATAGTCTTCTTTATAACCCTTTTAAAAATCATTCCATATGAAGGAAAACCATGAAAGTACACACTTACCACCTATCACGTGATCATCTCCAACATTTCGACGACTATTTGACGTTGACGCCCCACCTCGAGCGTGTTGAATATCCTGTAGTGGATACGAGTCCCCGTCTTGTTCTAGAGATGGTCTAACACTGTTCATTTTAGAAGCTATTTGAAACTTATTCCAATCTGCTACATGACGATGTTATTTCCTATGTGGCCAGTAAACGTCCTATTAGAAAGTTACTCTTCGACTGGATCACCCTGGGGAATTATCCGTGGTAACAGCCGCTGTAAAGTTTAATATCGCTTTAATACTGCAGAATACACTGCTGTTAATAATAATAAGTACATTGATAATATAAGCACGAAAAGGGAAACTTGAATTACTAACTATAACTTGATTAATGATGAGAAAACCACGACTTGAGAACAAAGTAGGTTTCGGAACAAGATAATAGCAATTTGTTAATTTGTAATTGAATTATATAAAGAATATTTATTACTCTTTATTTTTCTCACTTTAATAACGAAGCCATATTTCACCTGTACAATGTTTTGCTTTAAACGAGTTGTAACAAATAGTGTCACTAATATTCGATTCAGGTGGCGGCGAGGCCAAGTGGCTACCGGACAAGTACTCTAAGGATTGTTGTCCGCATGTCTTCCAACCCCGTCAAGGATAGGCCGTTGTTTGCTTAGGCACTAAAAAGAGACAAGTGCAAGGTTTGTCTCAAAATAACGTAATGACTTTACGAGAAATGAGAGAATAAATAAAACGAAGATAGTGTTACATAATAAAAAGTTTATGATTGTATATAAAACTTAACATTTAACTGACAATAAATAACAGAATGCATTATGCCAGGGGCTATTAAAATTTGTTGTCGCAGATTTACATTATTTTATCTTTTTTTATTTCAAAATACCACTTTCAACATTTAAATTATTATAACATAGTTTAAACGAATATTAAAGAAGTACTGGAATTTGTTCAAAACGCGTTACATCATTTCAATTTTCTTCTATCAACAAAATATGTTTTCTAGAGCATGTGCACGGAACGTCAATGTTGGATTATAAATTTTTCCGGTGCCTTATATTTCAGTCAAATCGAGATTTTTCACATTTTCACATGATATTTTAATAATTTATGTTTGTTGTGTTTTCTGTTTGTTTACAAATGCATAAGTAAACATCTTTTACTATAGTTGTTTTATGACTTTTCCTTTTTTCTTTATGTTTTACTTGAATTCCATCATCATAAGAATTACAGATTCGCCTAATCTTCATACATGATACCTAATGTAATAAATCCTATATGGTCATTGTCGGTCACACTCTGGCGATTACATCTAACAAAACATTCCATTAAAAACTCGAGACTTTCATACCAAAAAAGGTTTTCTAGTTCGAAAATATATTTAAATATCTAATTTGCTTTCACTTAAATCGGTGCTAGGGGGTCATAAGACATTTTTCGTTCAATGTTCTTTAGTGGTATTTAAATACATGAGTATACTTACATGCATATGTCCTTCTTTAAAAGGTCACATTGTTTGTTTAGTTTACTTGATTTTAAATGGTATAAAGCTATATCTATGAATATTTTTATAAATTTATTAAAGACAAAATTATAATATTTCAATACTAGTAATTTTATGATCGATTTTCGAAAGAGTTGTAACATAGAATGCCATACGTGCGAAAAGAATAAACTGTTAGGGAACATAATATTATGTTGCTATTTTAAGTAGGATTATAGCCGCTTAGCAATGATTTTGTACTTGCACCATGCGCTTTTTAGAGAAATATTCTAATATATTTCTTTTTTACAAAAGATATATACATTGTAGTTTTATAAAATTCCATACATTTTGGTCACATCTTTTCTATATATAGATAACTAACCAGTAATAACCAATTTCTCCGCAAGTGACCAATTACTAATGAAACATGATTTCTTAATCAGGGTGAGATATTGACTATAAGACTCAAATCTGAGATCTGTTGTCACAGATAAATTACGCCTTGCCAGAGGGTCGAACCAGGGACCCCTGGATTATATAATAAAATGTTATATTTATTATATACTAGACATATAATGTTATTTAAAATCGACTAGTGATTTAGAAGAAAATAATCTGTCCATTTGTGTACAGTTAAACAAATACTAGTCAACATAATGCACATTAAAATAAATGATACTTACTTTAACTCAATCATGGTTTATTTCGCATCAATAAATTACTATTACACATGTAATTCGTGTGAATTAAAATGAGTGAAAACTAAATCATTCCGAAGATAAAATGTAGACTTTTATCAATATAAATACTATATCGATCTACATTCAAACTACATTCAAGCTCTACTGAAGATGAAAGTTTATGAATTAATCATTTAAAAAAAAGTATTCAATTATGACAAACTATCCTGCAGACTGAGTTGAACATATTTATTGATCGATGCAGGCGGATTGCTGTATATAACTACATTTATTATATATATGTATATTATTACATATGATATCTATATATTATTATTAACATGTACATTACTAACATGTATATTACTATATACATGTACCATCCATATAACTGTCAGCGGCGAAATTTAAATTCAATCGCGTTCCGAAGGATTTATATCATCCGAAAAATATCAAGCTAAAAAAATTCAGATTTATGTAATTCAAATTATCGAATGTTCAAATGTTTGCCAAATATGATCTTAAATATATTAAAAGATATTTGATTATATGTTAATATATATGCATCTCATACAACTCAATTATATATGAAACAACTGCGACACATGTGTATCGCATTTATTAATGATGAATTGACTATAATAATGGAACATATGACGATGTGTGTCACAATGTCCATATGTTTTATATATAAATTTAACTATAAGTCTGTGAGAGGACTTATTGCAATCCAAAGTGGTTTTTACGTACTACAGTAACAAAATATTGCAATTTGGGGCAAAGGTAACAGAACGATTAATAAACTAATTGTGTTAATTTTGCATGGAAAATCCTTATGATTTTGTTTTCTGCAATATCAAATCACGTGTTTTGAACAGTTGCCTCCCTTGTATTTAGTTGAACTATACTGATGTTGTTTGGAGCCACAAAGTGGTCAAGCTTATAGTCTCAGACATGTTTATTCGAGTGATGATGATCGTACACATTAATCTCAAAGATTTTTATTTTTTAAAGGAAACGTAAACTTGATATTCAATTTGTTTAAAAATGTGTACAAAAACTTAAAGCTTAACACTCCTGGGAGTGTAGGTGGGGGGGGGGGGGCATTTTCATTGATTGCGGGAATAAAATATCATACTATATATGTAATTTGAAATGCATCTCGTAAACATAAAAATACATTATTGAAAAAAAAGACACTGGCTTCTATATTCAATCCAAGGAGATAATGATAATCAGTTATTTATCAGCAAATTGATTATAAGTTAATAAAACAACAACTTTATTGAAACAACAACAACATCAAAGACAACGATAATAATAATAATAATAATAATAATAATAATAATAATAATAATAATAATAATAATATTAATAATAATAATTATAATAATAATAAGATCAACAATTAAAGAAGTACCCTCGGTGGTTGTGTTAACTTTATTTAATATGATAGTTTTGCGTTATTTCTAAGTTATTTATTAATACAGGTTCAAAACGAAATAAGGTCTTAAACATTTGTTGACACCATTTCCGAGGTTTTCAACGCTACATTTATATTTGTATATCCACAGGAGATTGACTTTCTATCAATATCTCCTGTGGTACATCGTATCTTACCTTTCGATGTATATAAATTACATTAGTGGGGCGGGAAATTGAGAAAATAGTGCAAAGGGTGATACAAGCATGAAACCATATATATATACCATATTCATACTTTATTTTTGTCTCATTCGTATACATACATTTTTATACATGCATACTACCATTCTTTAAGAATTTCAAGAGACATTGTATCAATGAGAAACATATTCAAGACCTATTACAGTTAGTCAAGAATCACATAGTTCAATTACAAACAAACAGAAAATTCAAAATAGGTAACCATCGCTACATAGAGAACTGTCAATCGGAGCACTAACGCGCGCATAAAAAAGTTTTAAAAGATTGATTATTATCCAATATTGAATCTTGCATGAACTGATTAGCAATGATTACCTAAACCTAGGTTAAATACATTATCATGTCTAAAACAAGTACAATGGCATTATTTACAAAGAAATAAAAGACGACGTTGTAGAATATAAAAAAAGGTTTTGGCACAATAACGTATCATAACAGAAATATTAATTGTTCATTTTTAGACTTTCTTACAAAAGCACTATCTACAGTTTTAGCTTTATCAAATTAAGATTGTCGCAAGTCATCGTACACAAAGCAATCAAGAATGGCATGGCTTTCGTCTTCAATACTGTCACAGAACGGCATTTTCGTTCCAATGCGTACATCTAAGTCTTCGTATCACCCAGTTTTTGTAAATTTAGTCGTAACAATATTCACTATAGTATGTTTTGGAATTGAAATTCTGATATGACTTAATTGGTATGCATTACAATTTTTTAACATAGAAAAAACCTTTCTTACATGACCTATTTGCTGCAGTTGCAGTACAAAGTGTTTACTCTACAATAGGTATTAGACATTCTAGATAAATGAATAGCAATGGATTTCCACTGTCTGATTTCTGGGGGTATCCATCCCATTTCACCCGAAACCGCGACGTTTGGCGTATGGCTCGGAGTATAAAGAGCGAAAACCCCGGATAGCAGAACCATGCCAAACCGTAGAATGATATAGGCGGGTAAATACATTGTACAGAGGACCACCAGCCGATTTATATCACGAATTTATATTACAATATAAATTCGTGTTTATATTTAGCAATAAGATGGCAAAGAGCCCGACTTGCACTTTGAGCTACAACTTTGTCGTGACATTGAAATATAAGTGCTCTTGCAACATTAATCCCAAATACATATTCCATCAACGATATTAAGTGTGTGCAACGATATTAAACAATGTTCTACATATAGATAAATATTTAAAATGGACAAATTGACTTTTACTGCTGTAACCTGTGTATCGTTTTCTGTTTATGTATCCTCCGTGTTATGTTGTATTTGGTTGGTATTCGCCTAACTGTTGTGTCGTCGTTTGTTTGCCTAACTGTGGTAATGTTTTGTATAGTCTGTTTCGTATGAGAGGTCACTGTAAGTTGAAAGGTTGTATGAATGTGTTCACTAATATTTCACGTGCATGACCCTAAAATCCCCGCGAAACATTTTCTTGCTTAAGTAAAATATTTCCCTTCGCCAGTTCCACATTATACGAGTAACTGATAACTTACTTTACAGTAAAGTTGTTGATAGTAGTAGTTACTTATTAGTAAACTTGAACATTATTTATGGACAGTTCTTGTATGCTGATCCTGGTAAGAATTTATATATTTCTAATGTCATATTTATTCTTTTCCATTGATGAATTGGATGAAATGTATAATTTTACTATTTTGTAAATCAGTTATTTGTAAATCCTTTGTATTTTGTTTGTAGGCTCATTTTTGTATGTCCGACAATAAAATAGAAGCAAGTCTTCAATCATTTATCCCCGGTTACACTGCTATATATAAACATATCGTTGGTGCTACACCAGTTATAT